TTTTTTTAAGGGGATGGATGGTCTTCCTCACAGGCATGTCATTCAGGGCATTGATAAACTCCAGCTCCAGTGATTGCCCAATTTGTTCTTCTCAGTCTGGACTCAAAACCACACCTACTGTAGCCTGATAAGCAGGAAGTTCCTCCCACTCTAACACACAGACGACTTTGAGAGAAAACGAAACTGAATCCTGTCAGTGTTTGTGGTAAAATGGCAGAAGCCAGTGCTGCAATGGATGAGAACCAGTTCAGCTGTCCAATCTGTCTCGACCTACTGAAGGATCCAGTGGGTATTAACTGTGGACACAGTTACTGTATGAACTGCATTAAGAGCTGCTGGGATCGGGAGGATCATGCTGGAGTTTACAGCTGCCCCCAGTGCAGACAGACCTTCACACCCAGACCTGTTGTGGGCAGAAACACCATACTGGCTGAAATGGTGGAGAAACTAAAGGAGACTAGACTACAAGCAGCTCCTCCTGCTGACCATTATGCTGGACCTGGAGATGTGGAGTGTGACGTCTGTACTAGGAGAAAACACAAAGCTGTCAAGTCCTGCCTGGTGTGTCTGGATTCTTACTGTGAAACTGACCTGCAACTTCACAATAAACTCCATCACACAAAACAACACAAGCTCATTGATGCTACCAGCCATCTGAAGGACAAGGTCTGTTCCCACCATGACAAACCCCTGGAGGTCTACTGCCATACCGACCAGCAGTATATCTGTCTGCTGTGTGTGATGGATGAACACAGAGGCCATGATACAGTCTCAGCTGCTGCAGGAAGGGCGGAGAAACAGGTCAGACCGGAAACATTCGTATATAAATTGTGAATTTTTATAAAGTAAAAAAGTTTCACCATATGTAAGTTTGTATTGAAGTGAGATTATAATTAAGGTTGGTTAGTTACATGAAAGGAAAATGTTCAGAAAATGAGTCACTGAAAATGTACTGTAACTGATTAAAGAAAAATTTTAGCACCTTCACTTTTACCAGTAGCTGTGTTCTCAATGGGGCAAACCTGTGTCAAGATGTTACTATAAAATGTAAAATGTTTTGCTCGAATTGCTACTGAAAACTCCTTCAAACAGTGAATCTGAATGGCTAAGATGTGTGACCTCAGGGGAGCAGGAGAGATTTTTGAAGTGGGGGGGACCTAACAGTGAGCAAAAGGTCGCAGCTCTTAAGCTTATCCAGTCACGCTTGATGAGGCATTCGGTGTGATTTAATATACTAAACATTTTGATAGACACTGGCTGACATACATACAATGTTGCATCCAACAGAGGCTTGGTATAGATTAAGCCTCTATAGAATGTATGTCTACTAACATTGCTTGCTGTTTGAAAGACACTACTCCACACTACTTAGGGATGCTACTTATCAAAGTTTTGATATTTTTTTCCCCTCAGAAGTGGGTGGGATGGATCACAGTTCCTATTTAACTGTGGGGGATGTGTCCCCCCCTCCCCGCCACCATCTGTGCCCCTGTGTGAGCGGGTAAGAGGCTTTAAATATAGTGTGATTTTTTGGTGCCAAGCATTGTGGTTCTGGCATCTCAGAAACAGCCACCGTCCTGGAATTGTCAGACACTACAGTGTGTAGAGTTTAATGAGAACGGGGCATTAAACATAAAGCACCCGGACTGTGGCAGTTTCTGTGGGCGAAAACACCTTTGTTCAGAGGTCAGGGGAGAATGGCCCGACTTGTTAAAGCTTAATAGCAAGTTCACAAGTGCAAAAATAACAGCTCAGTACATCAGCGGTGTGCAGAATGGTTTTACCTAACACACATTTATTTAATCTACACAAGAAGTGGCTCTGGAGGCAAAGTGGGTCCTACCAGGTATTTGCTGGTTGTACCTAATAAAATGGCAACTAAGCATATGTATTACATACAGTATGTAAACTTCAGGTTGACTGTGAGAACTCTTTTCACATCCTTCACTGTGGATGCAAATCAGAGGAAATTTATCAAGTTTATCCTACCTACAGTCAATAAATCATTTAAGCATATCCATCCATCCATCCATCTCCTACCCACTTATCTGGGTCAGGCTCACAGGGAGTGCCTGGAGCCTTTCCCAGGCAGCATGGGGCTGGGGTCCACCCTGGACAGGATGATTAAAGAATATCAGTTAATTAAATAAACTCATTTTTATTATCTTTTTTCCCATGAGTAGAAACAAATGCACAAAACACAGAGGGAGTTTCAGCAGAGAATTCAGATGAAAGACAAGGAGCTGCAGGAGCTGAGAGAGGCTGAGGCTTGTAGGAACCATTTCAGGCTTGAATCGAAACTCTTCTAAGATGGGTAACTTAAGTCCTTTAAGGTTTAATTAATGTAAGGTGGCTGTGGGATATAATGAGTCAGGGTTCTCCCAGAGGGGGGGGGGGGATAATGGCACTGGACAGGAGGGCTGAGATGAAGTCTTTCTCAAACGGTGCTTAAATTGTATTCTTCATGATAAATGGTGACTTTTCATACACCCGTGTAATGCAAAAAAACATCAAAAAGGTCACATATTAAACTGAGACCCAATACTGACAACCTGCCCCATACAGCCACCAGTCTCTGCCAAATCCCTGCAGCTGACAGTGTATGAGCTTAATGAGGGATCATTTCCAGTCAGTGCTGGCTGGGTTTCAGCACCTGAGGCATCCAGCATCGTGACGCTCCAAACCCCAGCCCTGTGCTGTTTATATACCTCCTGTTGTGGTAGAAAAATTATAAATCAAGCACTTAGAATAAAAGTCTGGACCTCTTAGTTTGGCGAGTAAAGAAAATCTCTTTTATTCCAGCAAAGCGCTCCC